TTTTTTTTTTTGTATGTATGTGTGCGTGTTTTGATTTCATTTAATGCAATCATGCTTCTGTAACCCTGTATTTTGGATTTAGATTACGTGAAATTTGCATAGAACCTCATCATTTTGGGTCTTGTTGTGGTTTTTTTATCCATTTTGTGCAATTGTTTACCATTTGTTGATTTATTAAAAAAGAAAATGTGTTGGACATTGCAAAGTTAATGTATCTGTAAAGAGAAAGGAAATGATTACATGAATATAGTGAGATATGTAAATGTCAATGTCATTTCTCTTGGATTTGCTGGATGCATACTCGTGAATAAAGAAGATTTTAGGAATAATGGAACGGTGCTTATTAAATGCATGTATGAGTTGACATGGTGTTGCTGAATCCACCAGGCAATGTTTGTCGCACGCGCACAAATCATTTATTTGTCCATATTTTTATTTGTGTGTTCTTGTGATAGTAGGTCATGTCTGAAATTATAGATTGCGTTTGGATAAAGCTTTTATGGAGCAATTTTGATATTTTTTGGTAAGTATTAATGCAGTTGCATTATGGCTGTTTGTCGTCTTATGTATAACTACGAAAGTACGCGGAATGAAAACGTGATGTCCTGCATTTGTTTGGAAATGCGTAAATAAAAGTCGAGAGCTTCTGCTAGTTGATAGGGTGCCAAATTAATACTGGTATACATCGGTCCTTATTGATGATAATCTGTCAAATTATAGCTGATATATATTATTGCTTAAATCTTGGGTCCAGAGTACTGAAATATCCTAGAGACCTGCAGAGCTTCTCGAGTTTGTGGGGTAACTTTCAAAATTGAAGGAAATGATATTTGACTTCGAAAATATGATGGAGACTATGAATAAGCTATCGACCTCTGACCATGCTTCGGTGGTCTCGATTACTGTATTTGTCACACTCCTTTGCGCATGTATTGTGATTGGTCATCTACTGGAGGAAAATCGTTGGATAAACGAATCAATTACCGCCCTTATTATTGTAAGTACGCTACATATTATGGTAAATGCTTTTGCTGGTCGGTACCTTTGGTTGATGCATTATATTCTTTGAGGGTAATTTAAACACTTATCTTTCCTGCTGTTTATGCAGGGTTTATGCACTGGAGTTTTAATTCTACTTGCAAGCGGAGGGAAGAGCTCACATCTTTTGGTTTTCAGTGAGGATCTTTTCTTCATTTATCTGCTTCCTCCCATCATTTTCAACGCTGGGTAAATCAAATGTCCTCTACCAGATGTTATAGTCTTTGAGATGCATGGGTGCTTTGCATCTTGAATTTTTCTCATTTTTTCGCCTTACGTACTTTTGACTCAGGTGTCAAATACTTGTGAGCATTACCATGGTCTTGAAAGCACATCAATTTGTACAATAACAAGCACCATGAACTTTTGCATAAATAATGAGTTGTATACAAAGATGGTGATCCTTTTTAGTTTGAGATTTGAGGCACAGAGGATGTATTCTCTCTAAACTAGTGTATATTTATTACATGGCGCGCTTGTTTATCAAATAATCCGTTCAGAATGAGTTTTTTTGGTTAATCAGAGTTAATTTTGAAAAATGTGGTATGGTTAGTTGTTAATGGAATTTTAAGAATGTATTAAAATAATATTTAAAATAAAATGAATAGAATTGATTACATGGAAAAGTAGGAGGTAAATGATTGGTAGTTAAAATTATGTGAGTGGATGAATAGTTAATAAAAGTTGATGTGATGTGTAAGAATAATTGGTTTGTATAATTTAATTATATGAATAATATTAAAGATAGTGGGGTTGAGTTAAAGTTGAGTTAGATTTTAAGTATGAATTAGATGCATGCTAAACTAACTACATGCTAACAAAACTCGGCCGCAGATAGAAAACTGCAAATTAGGGGCACCACGATGTGCAACTCATAATTAGCTACTGCAAACGTGAAAAAGGATTCAGAGAGCACTATTAAATTGGTGAAACCAAAATGGTGGTTGGATTCTTTTACGCAAATATTTAATGAATTAATGATTCTCAGTTTTAGACTTGATCGTATCTATGCATTTCTTGAATCATATTTAACTTGAAAAACTTAAATTAAGCCTCTGTGATTGTTTATATTGGGGGGTGGCTGCAAGATACAACCCAATATATATACTAAAGTGTGTCTGCTTTTTAAAGTGCTTTGTGCTTCATTGCACAACTTTGACTAACTCCAAGGTAGGTCAAAACAAAACTCGATTGTATTTAATGACCAGCAGGTTTATAGCTTTGTCTTTAGTGAGCAGTCAGCTGATTATATCCCATATTAGCTGTATTTGGTTTGAGTGGGAGTGAAACCCGAATTTGTTTACCATCAATGGCGAGCCTGTAAGCTCCAAAAATTACTTTTATGAAATTGGGCTTTCACTTTGTTTTATTATGTTCCACGGATATGTGATTGTATGTGATTGTTTGCTATATTGTAATTTTGAGTTCCATTCACGTGGTTCCATCTATCAATCAGGTTCCAAGTAAAGAAGAAACAATTCTTTCGTAATTTCTCGACTATTATGCTGTTTGGAGCAGTTGGTACATTGATATCCTTCATCATCATATCACTAGGTATGGCCATATACCTTGTTTGGTTCATCTAGTCCATGGGTATAGGTAGCTTCGAAGAAGAAAATATTTGCTTTTTCAATCTTTATAGTTTGAACTGAATTGTTTCAGTATGGAAGAGAACACTCGTCTTGACTCAAGTTCATGCATGCTATTCCATAGGACATTGAGAGTCTTTAGTGTAATATGCCCACATTATCTCAATTATCACCCGTAATGGGCGAGAGCTTATTGTCAGCCTTTTTCCTTAAATGTGAAAGATTCTTGATTTTGAAAGGTGATCTGATTGAATATATGTTGTTTGAGTTACTCTTGATCTCCAATTCCATGTACCATCAGATTTGTAATGTGTCGAAGTTGTGCACCATAATGACATTGTTATTGAGGGATTGCCTTACTTATTGGTTCATGGGCTTGTTTTACTATATTTACTGGATTTGAGAGGTCATAGTTTTATGACTTTCTATAAAACTCTTGAAATGATGAGAGATTAAGAAGTTAAAAGAAGCAGAACAGGAATAATTACTATCTGTACAAATATGGCATTATTGTTACATCTGTTACATGCTCTTATTTTTATTGTTTTTAATTGTATGTGACTTTCTTTCTTTTTTACTTCAGTAATTTATTAATTACTCATTTCTTCTCATTTTGTGGCAGGTGCGATCGCCTTCTTCCAGAAAATGGAGTTTGGTCTATCAATCGGGGATTTTCTCGGTGACTCTCTCTCTCTCCCTCCCTCTCTCTCTCTCTCTCTCTGTGTGTGTGTGTGTGTGTGTGTGTGTGTGTGCGCGCGCGTGTGTGTCTCTCTCCTTCTCTCCCTCTCTCACAGACGTACACATGCTTCACATGCATGCAAATATATTAGGGCTTCACATATTTCCACAATTATATCTATTTCTTATATAAGCCATTTTCAGCAATTGGAGCTATTTTCGCTGCAACAGATTCGGTCTGCACACTGCAGGTGTGTTTGCAGATATTTTAGTGTTGAAATCTTTGAGTAGGAAAATTATTGGGGCTGACCAAAACATTCACAATGTTTCAGGTTCTAAGTCAAGATGAAACACCATTACTCTACAGTCTGGTATTTGGAGAAGGCGTTGTAAATGATGCAACATCAGTGGTACTATTCAATGCAGTCCAGAGTTTTGACCTCACGCACATCAACACCACTGTTGCTTTGCAGCTGATTGGAAATTTCGGCTACTTATTTCTCTCTAGTACTGTGTTGGGAGTTGTAGTAAGTCTTCTTCCTCTTCTTTTTATTGCAACCAGTTTACCGAAGTTTCTGAACTTTCAATTGCATTTCATAATACTTAGCATATTTTCTCCTTGTGTAGACCGGACTGCTTAGTGCATACGTCATAAAGAGGCTCTATTTTGGAAGGTACATGTAGTGTGCTTTTGCCATTCTTCATCATATCTAAGATTGATCCGTTTCTATTTAACAAGAGATACAACTTGAAGTATTTCAAGATTTGGCGGAACGACGATATTAGAAACCTTCTAAATTATCTCGTACTTGGTATATTTGATATAAAAGGAAAAAAAATTATGTCAACATGATAACTCTGTATAGCAATGTTCCTACAGGCATTCCACTGATCGTGAGGTTGCAATCATGATGCTTATGGCTTACTTGTCGTACATGCTGGCAGAAGTAAGCTTCTGATAACTTACATCGAGTCTTTCGTGAAATTCTCACTCTCTTTGAGTGACCTGTTTGGAGTTCAATCACAAGAATCATTTTATGAGGACTCTGTTTTTAACCCCCCTGAGGTGTTTTTGCAGCTATTCTATTTAAGCGGCATCCTCACTGTTTTCTTCTGTGGTATTGTGATGTCACACTACACCTGGCATAATGTGACGGAGAATTCGAGAGTAACCACGAAGTAAGATATCACTTTTATGTTTAGTAGAATTTGTTGATTTGCTGCTCTCCTCTGCATTTTTCTTTTACTGATAGAAGTTTACCATCAACAACAATACAGGCACACTTTTGCAACATTGTCATTTGTTGCCGAGACATTCATATTTCTTTATGTTGGCATGGATGCTCTTGACATTGAAAAGTGGAGAGTTGTAAGTGACAGGTATATGTTGCATATTCTTTGCGGACATACAGACACAGATCATTATTACTTAAATAAAAAATATTTTCCTGGGCGGTCCAATTAAGTTGTTCTTTTCTTTCCTTTTTCTTGTCTGGGGACTTTTCTGAGCTTAGCTTATGATTACTTCATTCTTCAGTCCAAAAACATTATTCAAGGTCAGTGCAACTTTACTGGGATTGGTTTTGCTTGGAAGGGCAGCCTTTGTCTTCCCCTTGTCTTTTTTGTCGAACTTGACCAAGAAGACCGAGAAAATCGAGTTTAAGCAGCAAGTACGAGCTCTAGGACCTGTATTTCTACTGTCACAAGACGTTGATCTAATTTGATTATCTAATTATTTTAAGAACTATGATTTGCCAGGTTACAATATGGTGGGCTGGTCTTATGCGTGGTGCTGTGTCAATGGCCCTAGCTTACAACCAGGTAAATTCTTTTTTTCTTTCTACTTCACTTCAAATGATCACGTAATATCCTAAAAAAAAAAGTGTAAGTAAAACAAATGTAGTGTTGATTTATATTTTTTCTTTTTGCTTGCAGTTTACTAGGGCTGGTCACACCCAGTTACATGGCAATGCCATCTTGATAACTAGTACCATCACAATTGTGCTCTTCAGCACTGTGGTAAAGATATAACTCCTACAAATTCATGTGTTATCACTCAGCTAGCTCAAATAATATGCATTCTCGTGAATTGAAAATTTTGTCTAGGGAGCGATCGCAATCACATAAATGATAAAGTCACTAAGTGATTGTTAGCTTCTGATTGGGGGCAGGCAAATACTAGAAATAAATATTGCATTTTTTAATGCTTTCAAATATCAACCTTCATTTGTTACTTTTCATGATTTTAACGAGTATCGAAAACTTGTGCAGGTCTTTGGCTTGATCACGAAACCTCTCGTGAGACATCTAATGCCTTCGTCCAAAAATTTAAGCAGAATGAGCTCCTCAGAACCCATCACGCCTAAATCTCTGCACGCGCCCCTTCTTGGAGAAAGTCAAGATTCTGAGGCCGACCTTTTCGGGCACGGGCTGGCCTCGGAAGCCCGTGAGGACGGTCAGACCGCACCCCGCCCCAGCAACTTACGTCTGCTTCTGACGAAACCCACGCGTACTGTCCACTACTACTGGAGAAAATTTGATGATGCTTTTATGCGTCCCGTTTTCGGTGGCCGTGGGTTTGTTCCGTACATACCTGGATCGCCAGTCGATCAAAGCATGCATGCCGGGAAGCACTGAAAAGGTTATTATTGCTGCACTAGTTATTATTATCAGGGTTTTGGTTTTTTCTTTTTTTTTTCTTTTTTTTTTTATTTTATTTTCTGGGATGGGCCCAGAAAGCAACTTTTAGGGTTTTTGCCTGTTTGGGATGATTATGAATCAAACCACCCTTTGAGGTTTGACATAATTATCAAGAGAACCTAGTTATGTTAAAAAGATTGTGTGTGTCTGTGTGTCTGTGTGTGTTCTTGTCATGATTTAACGTTTTTTTCCCAATCGATTTTATGTTATTCGGTTTAGATTTTGCGGGGATTATCGGTTGTTGAGTTTGGGGACAGTATCTGTGTTGAAACAGAGTGTCTTATTTTTCTTCCAACAGGAACACAGAGAGTTTGTACTTGGGAAAATGGGAAATTTTCTCTGTTCTTTTTTTT